ACAAAACAGAGAATTTGAAATGAAAAGAACAATGACCATATACAGCTACAGTTTTATTCAGGCAGTTTTAAGCATACTACTTTGTGCTACTCATCTAGAAGCATTTTCGGTGAACGATGTTCGGTCCCACTTCCAAGAATTCTGCCCGTGTAATCCACATTTGCTGAAAGGTAGACAGAGAAGACAATATTGATCCTCCCGTCCATACTGCCAAAATTGGTTCAGGACAAGTAACAAGATTTAGCGGACATTCTGGTGGGATCAAACGGGCCAGTTCCTTGGTCATACGCTCACCAATTCCAGGAAACAAGCTGGACCCTCCAGACATGAGCACATTGTTGCAAAGGGTGCTCCGAAGATCAATGTCACACTTCATTATGCTATTAAAACACATTTTATCAATGCCTGGTGAATCCATTCCAATTCTTGCAGGATGAAATAGTGTTTCTGGACATTTATACCTATCTTTGTGGATGGTGATAAGCTTTCCATCAGGAAGTTTGTATTCTTTTTTCAATTCTTCAATATCTCTCAATCTCTCACATTCTATATCAACAGCAACATAACATAGCCTTTCTTTCATATCTTTAACAATTTCTCTTTCCGATGTACTAATAAAGGAAAGGCCACTTTCAGTTAGTATTCTCATCAGATAGTTTGTCAATTCTCTTCCTGCTAGATCAAGCCTTAGCACGGCATGTTGAAGACAGTATCCTTCAAATATAGGGACTGTGTGTGTCACACCATCACCTATGTCCACCACACAACCAGTTACTTTTCCTGAGGAGTAGAGAGCTAAAACTGCTTGGATTGATACATATGTTGCAGGAACACCAAGTCCCTCAAATAAAACAGTCATCATCTTTTCTCTGTTGGCACGTGGATTGAGAGGTGCCTCAGAAACAAGCACTGGTCTCTCACACGTCTTTATCTGTAGATGATGTTCAAATCCATTCTTCCATATGAGCTCCATATCATCCCATGAATTTACCACACCATGCTCCACAGGGTAGTTTAAGGAGAGGATACCCCTTCTTACCTGTGCATGTTCTCCAATATAATATTCCCTTTGTCCAGCTCCAACAATGACAGGTTTGTATTTTGGTCTGCCTACTAAGTTTGAGTACACAAATCGTGGTTTTTCTTCTCCTGAAAATCCAAATTTAATTAATCCAGAACCATTGTCTATTACCACCGCTTGTGGAAAATTGGCCATCTTATTTGCTTTCCCCCCTGCTGTCAGCTTAACTGTTAATAGTAGCAGCTTCTCTGATCAAAGAGGACTACACCTCCTGTCCTGTTTGTATTTATGTGAGCAAGGTATGATGTAATAATGACAGTTTACCTTGCTATATCCCAGTGTTATCCTACAGTTTATTGTGGTAGGCTTGCTTATCACCAAAAAATAAAGAATAACTTGCTGGACCCTATTTTATTATTTATGTCATATATGTTTGGGGGTTTTCAGACATAATGAGGGCTATCACCATCTGGGCATGCGGGGGTTAACCTGGTCCCCCACCACATTAGGCCCTAACTCACCATCGCTCCTGGGCGAACACTTTAGAGGCCCATTCCAAATTGGCCAATGGCAGTGCTTGAGAGTGAATCAACCCAAAGATGGGTAGCTGAATTTCAGAAGGCGTTCGACTCTGTAAGCGGTTTTGAAGGAATCTGCAGAGGATACAGCATATACTACCTGCTTCTGAGATACAGTCTAAAGGCACAGCTTTAGCCCGGAGGTGCCTTTCCTGGTGGGGATCTATGTCGGTTTATGTCTCCTAATGCAGTCCTCGCACTGAGATGAAACAACAGGGTCCAGGATAGAGCTTCTTCCTGAAAGTGGGGAGAGAGCTCTACAATCATGTAGATAAGCCCCCAAATAGGGCTAAAAAATCATAATAGCAGCTAAGGTTCCTGGTTCTTGACAGAAAGGAGAGAGTAGTGAGGAAGAAACAAAGTAAGAAAGGTCTCCCCCCCCCCTTTTTATTTTAGCTATCCAATAAAAAATGGGGAGGCTTCAGCCCCACAATTCTAGCCCCAGGCTGCCAGACAAGAAAGGGTAAATGATAGACATGTGCAATTAATTTCGTGCCGAATGCAAATTCAGGTGAATTTAGAAAATTCGGACATTCGGATGCTTCCTAATGCCCGAATTGCCAAATTCCCAAAGTGCCCATAGGCGTGCGCACGGGGTGTGCCGGGTGTGCCTGGGCACACACTAATCAAGTCTCAAAATTGAGGCTCCGTGCTGAACTGTTGCAGGGGGGCACAAAAATCTGAATCCCCTGTCTGTGGCTGGGGACTCGGATTATTCACATTACCTGTCTCTCCCTGCAGTCAGCCAGAACAGAACAGCCAGGGAAGTCGGCCGGCCCCTCCTGATGATGTCAAGAGGAGAGGGTGTGAATTCCACTACACTACTACAGACTCCCCAGCAATACGCAATCTGCAATCCACTGGGGAGTCTGGGAGAAGAGCAGTGGAAGTCACGCCCCCTCCTCCTGACATCATCAGGAGGGCCCAGCCGACTCACCTGGCTTCAGGCTTCTGCTCCAGGCTCCTGTGCACCCCTTCCTGGCCTAAGGTAAGACTCAGGGGTGGGGGGATTTTCTTGTCAGCCCCTGCCCCCCTCTACTGCTCCTGCCCACGACCTCTATCGCCCCTGTGCCCCACCTCAGCCCATGTTCCCCTTTCTATAGCGCCTGCCCACCTCTTGTTTAGCCCCTATTCCTCTTTCTATAGCCACTGTGCCCCTTTTTACAGCCTCTACGCACCTCTTCTGTAGCCCCTGTGCCCATTTTACAGCCCCTGCCTACCCTTTCTACAGCCCCTGCCCACCGCTTCTATTGCCCCTGCCCACCCCTTCTACAGCCCCTGCCCACCCCTTCTATTGCCTTTGTGCCTCCCACCACAGCCCTTGTGCCTCCCACCACTGCCCATATCCCCCTCTCTAAAACACATGCCCCTTCTGTACAGCCCATACCTCCCACTCTACAGCCCATGCTCCCACTCTTCAGCCCTTGCCCCCCTTTTATGCCCCTAACCTCTTCAATAGCCCCTGTTCCCGTCTCTACAGCCCCTGCCCTTTCTCAGCCCCCTTTCAGCTCCTGTGCGCCTTTTCAGCCCCTGTGTCCCCTCTCAGTCCCCCCTCTACAGCCCCTGTGTGTCCCCCCCTCTACAGCCCCTGTGTGTGTCCCCCTCTACAGCCCTTGTCCCCCCTTGTACATACCCTATGCCCCACCACAGCCCATGACCCCCTTCTATGTGTGTATATATATAAATGTGTGTAATACATTTATATATATATATATATATACATATATATATATATATGTGTGTGTGTGTATGTACATATACACGCGGCGGGAGTGTTTGTGCTTTAGGGTGCCGAAGTGCCGAATTTCGGAATACCAAAACAAATTGCTGAATTTCCGAAGTGCCGAATTTCGGAAAGCCAAACCGAATTCCCGAAGTGTCGGGTTTCGGAAGTGCCGAAGTACTTTGGATTTCTGAAAAGTGGCAAAATAGGAGAGGGTTGGGGGTAGGGTTAGGGTTAAGGGTTGGGGTAGGGTTACGGTTAGGGGTAGGTTTAATGGTTGGGGAAGGGTTAGGGGTAGGATTAGTGGTTAGGGTAGGGTTAGGGTAACCCTACTTCTAACCCTACCCTAACCATATTCCTAACCCTAAACTTACTCCTAACCCTACCATAACACTGCTCCTAACCCAACCCTACCCCTAACTCAACCCTACCCCTACCCTAACCGTACTCCTAACCCTACCCTAAACCCTAAACGTACCCCTAAGTTTAGGGTTAGGGATGGGTTAGGAGCAGGGTTAACCCTACCATAACCCTGCTCCTAACTCCTACCCCTAATGCTACCCTTTAACCTACCTCTAACCCTACTCTTAAACCAACCCTACCCCTAACCCTACCCCTAACCTAACTCTACTCTTACACTTACCCCAAGTCCCAAAGTGCCGAGCCGAAGTCCCGAATTTCAAGATGCCGAACCAAATATTTTTCCCAATGCACATCCCTAGTAAATGAGTCTCAGAGATTAGTAGTACCTGGGGAATCCGTATGGCGATTGCTTTATGAGCTACATCTGCCAAAGGTTGGTTTACAACCCCAGATAAAACTCTTAACTACTATAGAGTCCCCAAATAGCGTATAGGATCAAGGTAATATGTGTTGGAGAGAAAAAAACACAAAAATGTTAATAAGGGCGTACCTACATTATTGTGTTTTTCTCCAACACACATTACCTTGATCCTATAAGCTATCTGGTGACTCTATAGTATTTAAAAGAGTTTAATAGGGGTTTAGTTCAGCCTTTGGCAGACATAGCTCATATAGCCAGGGCCGGATTAACATAGGGGCTGATGGAGCTGCAGCTCCAGGCCCATGGAATAGGTCCATTAAAAAAAAAAAAAAAAAAAAAGTTATTTTTTTTTTTACATACTACTCTTAGGTTTGCCACCTGACTGGTATTTTACTGACACATCGGTATTTGAGGTACTCACTGATCTGTGAGGGAGCAGCTATACAGCACATAGAGTTCAGACAGAAGCTCTCAGCCTGCAGAGACAGCCTTCAGCTCAGGCAAGTGAGGGAGGAGAGGAAAGGCAGCAAGGAGACATGGGGACACTGGGAGACCTGGGGATATTGAGACACTGGGGGATACTGGGAGACCTGGGGACACTGAGACACTAGGGGACACTCAGACACTAGGGGACACTGTGAGACATGGGTCCATTGGGAGACACATTGGGACACAGAGACACTAGGGACACAGTGTCTCCATGTGTCCCCATGTCTCCCAGCCAGTGTCCCTAGTATCTCAGTGTCCCCATGGATCCCAGTGTCCCTTAGTCTCCTAGTGTCCCCAGGGCTCCCAGTTTCCACAGGGCTCCCAGTTTTCCCAGGGCTCACAGTTTCCCCAAATGTCTGTGTCCCCATGTCTCCCAGTGTTCACATGTCTCCCAGCCAGTGTCCTTAGTGTCCCCAAATGTCTCATTGTCCCAAGTCTATGTCCACAAGTGCCCCCATGTATCCCAGTGTTCAAGTGTCTCAGTGTCCCCATTCCTCCCAGCCAGTGTCCCTAGTGTCTGTGTCCCCATGCCTCCCAGCCAGTGTCCCTAGTGTCCCCATGTCTGCCAGTGTCCTCTAGTCTCCCAGTGTCTGTGTTCCCATGTCTTTCAGTGTTCCAATGTCTTAGTGTCCCCAAATGTCTGTGGCCCCATGTCTCTGTGTCCCTAGTGTCTGTGTCCCCATTTCTCCCAGTGTCCCCAAATGACTCAGTGTCCCCATGTCTCACAGTGTGTCCTAGTATCTTATTGACACAGGACACACTAAGACATGGGGACACTGGGAGAAATGAGGACACTGAGAGATTAGGGGACTGGGCCATATGGGGACACTGACACTGATACATAGGGACACTGATGCCAGGCTGGCCTTCCAATTCTTTGGACAGACATGCCCCCTTTTTTCCCCGCAGTTCTGGTCATGCAGTCATGGTGGCCCACCACCCCGCCCATTGACTTACTGCTTCACTGGACACTGCTGTTAGGGGGTATGGATTTACTTGAAAGATGAAAGCATAAATTAGATAAAGAGAATAGCATAGAGTATGTATTTTCTTATAGCTGCATCCTTTGAGTTTCCCTCTAACACCATCTCCATCAGATACACGACGCTTGGGAGGTATGACTGTTTTAGTGTTTTTGGTCGATAAGATTCTGTAATTAGGCCCCATCAAAATTGTCAGCACCAGGCCCACTGGCCTCTTAATCTGGCCCTGCATATAGCAATCATCATACGTATTCCCCAGGTACCACTGATCTTTCTGAGCCTAACTTACCCTTCCTTGTTTGGCAACCTGTGGCTACCCTGTACATAACGTTTAAGGCTTTTCCCCCTTGGGTATTATTGTATTTTTTTTAATTTTTGTTGGTTTAAGTTATTTGGAACTCATGCTTTACAATAAAGGTTGCTTTCATATTCACTGCCTTCCCCTCCTGAAGTGCCTTAGTACACTTCAGGTGTTTCCTGTTTTGGTTCTATAAATAGTTAAAAGAAATCCTTTGGCATGGCTAAACTTTGTCTTACACTTGTAATATGAATTTAGCCTCAAAACGCCCTTTTTATTTAATTCACTAATAGGAATATGTCTATATGGTTTATTCAATATATATCAGACCATCCACATATTTTGGAGGTAGTAGTGCCAAATAGACATTTAGGGGTAGAGTCAAATCCATTTGCCCCAGTCCCACCAATTTGAAATGTTATCCACCGCCACTGATCATAGTGTGTATGTGGGGGATGTTAGTAGCTAGTTAGTAGTGTAGCTTTTTAAAAAGGACCTACATAGGTAAATGATATATGAATATTATAAATAATTACAAATGATAAATGTTATTGATATGTACGTTTGATAATATGAACAATATATATATCTGTTACTAACTGTTACATTAGTACCTTGTTTTTTTAAAAATAATCTATGCCTCTTGTTTTTTACTCCTTTTTTCCTAACAATTTTAACATGGATTACATTCACAAAATAACACACACTCAGAAGGGCTCATGAGAACTTTAGTCATCAAGATGGCAGCACCTAATAATCAGCATTTCAGAGACTGCCTTACCCTAAGCGCAGCAAGCCTCAGTCTTTTGCATACAAGCCTTTTAACAACTGTCTCTTACAATGGCTCCTATGAACTTCAGTCAACAATACAGTACGTACTAATCAGCATTTCAGATTAATACCCTAAACGCTGCAAGGTACACTGGGATAATCTACTCATCGTCCCATCTATATTCTATTTTTTCCCAATTGCTTTTTTTCCTGTTTTGTATATTTTGTAGTTGGAATTCTATGTTGTATACTTACAGATAGAGTATTTCACCATTAATATCTGTGTCACTAGGTCAATACCTGTTCCTTGTCAACTCTATGGATTATTAATTCCCGGAGCTTGTCCATTCTCATATTGCCCATTCCCAAATAGTACCTGTCTTTTATAGCCTCAGTCTCTTCCACACGAGCCTTGTAACAAAACTCTCCCCTACCGCCCACTCGTACATCATAATTTGCGGCCTTTCCCACAAGAACATTTTCTGGCTTACATCGCAAGATTTGGCCACCACTTCTGGCCTTCTCACTCTTAGACACAAGAAGACTGAGGCCATTTTGTTGTGGCTGATAAGTGATCGCAGCAGTTGCGTGTTTCTTCTACTTCCATAAAGAGTTAGGAGGTTTTATATTTCCATTATTTAAGTTTACTCCCTGCTCTCCTTAGGTTGCCTATATAGATACATTTTATCTGGTCAACTATTTTTACATGCACATCTTAGGGGTGAGCCCACCATTAATTGATTTTGTTATATACCTGGTGTTATTAGGCGTGAGACTTCTTAAAGGATCACTATAGGGTCAGGAACACAAACATGTATTCCTGACCCTATAGCGTTAAAACCATCATCTAGCCCCGGTTCCCCCTTGCCCTCCCTAAATATAGTATATTACCTTTATTTCATCCTGCTGCTCCTGCTGGCTCTGCCCCAGATCTGCCGGCTTGGCTGACATCAGAAGTGGTGCTCAAAGCCAATCACAATGCTTTCCTATAGGAAAGCATTGGATTTGCTGAGACTGTCAAGGAGGCAGATCAGGGGCAGAGCCAGCACAAGCCAAATACATCCCTGGCCAATCAGCATCTCCTCAGAGAGTTGCATTGAATCAATGCATCTCTATGAGGAAAGTTAAGTGTTTCCATGCAGAGGGTGGACACACTGAATGGCAGTGCTGCAAACTGTGCAGCACTGCCACAGGAAGCACCTCTAGTACCCATCTGAGGAGTAGCCAGTTGAGGTATCCCTAGGCTGTAATGTAAACATTGCATTTTCTCTGAAAAAAAACAGTGTTTACTGTAAAAAGCCTGAAGTGAACGATTATACTCACCAGAACAAATACAATAAGCTGTAATTGTTCTTGTGACTATAGTGTCCCTTCAATCTATTTATCTTGTTTACCTGTATTATTCTTATTTTCTACCTGGTGGTACTAGGGGTGACTCCCCTAGGATTAATCACCTGATTTGTATCTCATTTTATTGCTGCCAGTTAACTTTTTCTTGATTATGGAAGGGCTTGACGAATCTATGCCAACTACTGATGGCCTACAGATACTGATAACGCCACTGTTGCAGATTCTCTGAAAAAAGCTCTGTCCAGAGCACTCTCTAATTTTTCCCTGACACAAAACGGGCCAGAACCAACCCCTGCTCAAGTCAACAGTCCCTCTGATGAGTCTCAGTACCCTGATAATTCATCCCCTGAGCTGATATGGTCTTCTAAACAACATGGAAAGTCTCTAGAGACTCCACAAGTGACTTCTGCCCCTGAAGTTCAAGAGCTACCTTGACTATCTTCAGATGAGGAGGACCACAATTGTCCACCTGATCTATCTGGGGAGGATGAATGACAAGCAAATAATTCAGATAATGATGATTGGATTGGCCTAGACATTAAGTCTAAATTTAATAAAGAATCCTTTGTTAGTGAACCCAGCGCAAAAAACATCCGTTTAATACAGAGCTTTTCACACCACTATATGGTAATCGATGCCTCCGCCTCCTCTCTGCACCAGCGAACATAAATCTCACCTCAGCAAGGGCTTCAAACCCTTATCTCAAAAGCACCATTTGGAAGGCTCACGAAATAGACAGTTTATAAAATTTGTTTTGTACTGCATTGTTTTTCTGGTCAAGAA